CTGGAGTCCGGCGGTGGCCGGCGAGCACTCCCGGTTTCGACTTACCGCGTCCAGACTAGACGCGATAAGTCGAACCCAGAAGTTCGATCGCTCGCCGCCGAACTACCGGGTAAGTGTAGCCAAGGCCTAGTAGCTTCTCACTATTCCAGATTGGAGCTAGAATGAAGGGGCAAGAGGACCAGGAAGCTGTATCTAAAGGGACACTGTCAAATAGTTTTAAATATAAAGGGTAAAACATGCTCTTGAATGTGCAATGGTAGAGAATCTCCTGGTAATGGAGCTAACTTTGTTCTGCAGAGTCGGGGGAGAGGGAGAGAGAGAGAGAGGCAGGACTGCGTGGTGAGATGTAGACTGTTGCCCCGCATACCTGATGTGCAGCTTTGCTGTGTGCTTCAGAAAGTGGGGAAGGGATATGCAAAGGGAAGGGTGAAGCAGAGTCCTGGGGATCTGCTACTATCTGGTTTCTCTTAATGGGATGGAGTGAAATCCTGGCCCCTCTGACATCAGTGAGAGTTTTGCCATTGTCTTCTATGGGGCCAGAATTTCACCTGGGTGTTTACTCAGAGCCATGGAGCTGCTCTGTGAGATGGGGCTTATAGAAAGCAAAGTTTACAAGAAATAAGTAACTGAGTTACTAGGGAAGGAGGGAAATCACTTCTGATAATTTTGTTTTCTAGTAAATGTTGTATACTGTTAAAGTAAAACCATTTGTGTTTCTAATACAGATGTACTAGTTTGCAATATATAATGTTGATATAAAGCCAAAGTCATTGCTGATAAACTTTATTTTGGAAAGAATTCATGCCAGAATATAGCAGCCTGATGCCCAGAAAGCTCACTTTTTCCAGTGCAGAGGTTGCTTTGTCTTTATTTTAACATACAAACAGATCTGTGCACAACAATTAGGTTTTGTAGGATAAATGATGAGGCTCAGTTCCTCCTGAGGTATGTGCATCAAGGGGGTGGAGCCTCAGAGAGCCAAGGGAGAAATGAGAGGGGTGGGGCTGGAGGATGCACATTATCTCATCTGATATCCCAATGGAGTCAGGCTGCAAGGGAGCTGGGAAGGGGATTCTGGTGACAAGAGCAAGTGCAGAGGCACTAGTTTTTCACATGGCATCCCATAGATACCTGTGGATTTGCCAGGTTTAGGGGCATTTCTTGGCTACCAAGGGCAAGCCCTTCCCTAGTAGGATGAAATGAGGGGGGGTTAGTACAGCAGGGGTGATGTAGGTCATGTGTAGGTATGAGAGCATATTTTATATATCAGAGAGAGAGAGAATGTATGAATCTAAAATGTTTTAATTCAACCAACATTTTTAAATAATTGAAACATGACTCTGCAAGGCTTGGGAACCCAAGTACAGTACCATTTTACTAGGGCAAAAATAACTAAAAGATGAAACACATTATAAATGGGAAAGTGAAATTGATTAGTCTACAATCATTGACTCTGGGGAAAGAAGTGCAAAGATTAAGTGGCATAAATGATGAAAAGTGATCCAGATTTGAGTTTTTCTTCTTTAAATTAATAAAAGTGTTGGGGGAAAAATCTATGCCTGTGTAACTATTAACATGTAGCTTTCATCTTGTCAGTGTCTTTTTTTTTTAAATTTGATTCCTCCCTATTAAGTTTTTTTTTTAATCCTTTCCTTACTGGATACAGCAAGATAGAGATTCTAAATGACTTTATATAAAATCAATATGGAGTGGCAGCAACTTCTAATAAATTCTTCAGTGGAGTCACAAAAACAGCACAGTCAACGAGTTTGATTTATTTTTGGTGCAAGTGAAATATATTGAAGTAGCACAATCTGCATGTGGCTAGTTTGATTCTTTAAACAGAATCTTCTTTTATTTATTTTCCTTATGAAAAAGTCTTCTAGAGTTTAACAAAGAATAATCATCTTTCTTCTGTATGGGATTGTATGCAATTCTACAGCAGAGATATCATTCTCTACTAAATTCCACAGGGCTAGGTTGGCAGTGTCATGGAGTCCCTGGGCGATGCTCTGGAACTGCTCCCTATGAAGCCAGTCAGGACTCTAATGAAGTCTCCTCTCTGTGAGCAGACTGTCTTCAGGGCAAGAAGCTCACACGGCTTCCACCTTCCTGGGTCTGACCCTGGAGCATTCAGCATCCTCTGCCCCTCCGTGCTCTTCCCACACCAAGTCTGCCCAGGCGGGGTCCTGGGGAAACTTGAGGGTCCTGCACCCCAACTTTGCAGTCAGACGTGACTCTTAGCCAGCCAGTAAAACAGAGGTTTATTAGATGACAAATACGGTCAAAAACAGAGAACAGGCCCCCTCAGCCAGGTCCATTTTGGGGGGCAGTGAGCCAGACACCCACGTCTGCACTCACTCCACGTCCCCAGCCAGCTCCAAACTGAAACTCTCCAGCCCCTCCTCTCTGGCCTTTGTCTCTTTCCCGGGCCAGGAGGTCACCTGATCTTTGTTCTCCAACACCTTCAGTTGGCATCTTTGCAGAGGAGGGACCCAGGTCATTAGTTGCCAAGAGACAGAGTGCCGGCCATTCTCTGTGCATTCTTGGGCGCTGCAACAATTATACACTCTGATCCCCCCACCTATATACCTAAGAAATGCATAGGGGAAACTGAGGCACCCACACAGTATTCAGAGAAAACATTAAGAGCATTCCCACTTTGTCACAGGCATCTTGCAATTTATCTTGGGCAAAGGGTACAGCAGCAGTTGCACTATCCCAGGAGCAGAGCAGGGTGTCTCTCTCTCTTTGGTTTTGACCAGAAATCATATCCTTGATCTGAGGAACCTTCCCAATGAAATTTTCATCGAAACCTATATATTTCTGCAAAACATTTTGATTTTGACAAACTGGCATTTTTCAAGGGAAAAGGGTTTGAAACGTTTTTTGACAAATCAGCTCTAGTGCTAACCCAGAAAACCCACATTCTGGGATCACATCCCTGGTCTGTGATAAGCTGGACACACAGGGAAGTAACCAACAAAGACTCTCCAAACCAATCACTGCAGCAGAGCAAGAAGGCTGCCCATGTCTCCATACAGCCAGCCCTTGTGTATCAGCAGCACTTCATCCTTAGATTATATACTTTCATGGGCTGCCTGGTAGGGTTACCTTTCGTCCGGATTTACCTGGACATGTCCTCCTTTTTGTGCTAAAAATAGCGTCCGGGGGGAATTTGTAAAGCACTCACAATGTCCGGGATTTCCCCCCTCCCCCGGCAGAGCAGAGCGAGTGGCT